GCCGTACCCGCGGTAATCCCTGCCCGGTGCCGGTGCGGCCTGCCCCGTCCGGCCTCCGCTGCTTCAGCCCTTCCCTCTCGGGTCCGGGGAAGCCGGTCCGTGCCTGTCCGCCTGCCCCACGGCCTGTGGAGGTGGCCGGGCTCTGCCCGCTGTGGCAGCGTGGGTGCTGAGGGTGCCAAGCGCCCCTCCGTCCCGGACACCCCCCCCCGGTTTGCCATTAAACAGATGTACGAGTCACTGCATCGGCCTCCGTCTTTACCTCCGGTTGCCAACGTCTCCCGGTCCCTCGAACGAAGCCCGGAGCGACCGCGCCTCCCGTCGGGAGCGGCGGTGCCGTGCGGGGACACCGGAGGGGCGGCCGCCCCTTTTTTTGGGGGGGGGGGGAGCGGTTCGGTTCGGAGCCCTGGGGTCTCCTCCAGGCGTGGTGCGGAGCGGAACGGTGCCCCGCATGGGGAGACCGTCGGTGGTGTGTGGCCGTGAACCGAGTCCGTGTCCTCTCCTGTCTGCTAACTCCCCCTTTTGTGTTCCTTGTTTTCACCGGGCCGGATTCGGTCGTGATCTTAAGTGGAAAAAAAAAAAAAAGCAAATCTGTTAAGAGGATTTTTGAGGACAATCTGTTTGACGATGTTTGCGCAGTTACTGCTAAAGGCAGCTCTGAAGATTGTTTGGGGGGGGGGAAATCTTCCAGAAGGCTTGAAGTAAACTTCAAATGTTTTGTTATTTTCCAGGGTTTGGGTGTGGAAGATAGATTCCTGTGATCTCCTGAAGGTATAGCTTGTCACTAGAAAAACAGTTACCTCTTCTCCAAAGCTCTTCTTCTCTCCTTTACACTCTACTTGCACTGTATTTAAAGAAAGTACAGAAAAAGAAACGTTTTCTCAAGCACACAGCAGATCAGCGTATTGACGAGTTTTACATCTCCGCATTGAGCAGCACAAGTTATCCTTGGAGAACCAAGTGACAAAGTTTAGCCAAAAATAACTAATAGCAAATGTCACTATTAGAGCAGCTTTATGGTGCTGTCTACCTTTTTCTTGACTACCTGAAACTGAGACGCACTTCCCAGGGTTTGCTTCTTGAAAACCACAGGGGTGGGTGGCTGCCCTGGAATCTACCTCACAACATTTTTAAATGGTTCACTGTGAGGGCATTTCTGCTCTAGATTGAGTACGTCGGTGCGGGGAGCAACTCCAGGTGTCTAACAGCTGCACGTCTCACCTTGCATGGCAAATGAAAATTGTTTCTTTCTCATGTGTGTTGAGTGCAGCTTGGTTATCCCCATAAGGCAAAATAAGATCTGTCCTATGTTTGGTACAGAAACACACTACAGGTGAAGGAAAAAACAGTCTCCTGATATTCACCTCTGATAATAAACACGTTGTTGGCTTTTTTGAAAAAAACAAACAAAAAAACCAAAATCCCAAAACATAAACAAAAACAAAACGTTCAGATTTGATATCTGCATACCTTTGTAAGGTATCAAGAAGAACAAGTATGTGATTTTCATTCTGGTGCTGCACTTCGTAACGATAATTTTGATTGCTTATCTCTCATGAAATAGAGGTATGCGACTTCTGATGAAGGGTACAAAAGCAGTTACAGCAGCTGAAATTAAAGATTTCATTCAAGTGCATTTGAACATTTAAGTTCTTTATCAATTTCCTGTTGGTTGTACCCGTGCAGTATCTTAATGGTCTAAAGAACTAGGCAGTTTAGGTATCACAAATATGAGTAAATAGAAAACTGAGAGAAGGTCTACTCTGCACACAACTATAAAGTCTGTTGATGTCTCCTACCATTCTGATCTCTGAACCTCTCTTCTGATAGTTACTTGTGGTTTTAGGAAGTTTTGGGTAATTTCCTCAAAAGACCTTTCTTTTCCGTTTTATTGTTGTTCCTGTCTGTAACAGAGAATGTGATGATAGGGTTATGTCTTGTCTTTACCTCCTAAGACAGCGAAGAATACGTTTGTTGCTGTATTTTCAACGCGGCCTTTGTCATAAAGTATTAGGTTTGTCAGTACTGCAAAGATCAAGCAGAGAGCAAGAAATATAAGGAAATATTTGAAATTCACTGATGATTTGTGGTGGGAATAGTAGACTTGTCTGAAAACTCATATTTGCAAAGGATGGAAAAGTAATCTTTTTTCCAATTTGTTTTTTGTTTTGTTTGCTTGAGATTTTTTTCTTTTAAGAAATCTCAATATTTGAAGTTAAGCAGAATGCGTATTTCAAATGGCAAGAGGAAGAGATGAAGAAGTTACTGTGTGAGCTCGGAAAGATTGTAGGAGGTGAAAAAGTAAGAGCAGCAGAAGTAATGAAGTTAAGCAGAGGAAGAGAGGAGTTGGTAGGGAGAAACAAGGCCATGTGAAGCAGGAATGGCGTGGGAAGGACTGGCCTGGGCATGTTACTGGCTCTTATGCAAAGCCCCTTCTGCACTTACCTTACACCTGAGTGTCCCAAACTGCTTTGAAATTTTGGTTGAGGAAGTAGCTGCCTGCACACAACTTGAAAATTGCTGTGGGTGTTCTGATTAACTTGTTCGTGCTCTTTTCCCCTGCCTGAAAGTCATCGCCAGCACCTCCCTCCTGACTGCGCTGTGCTGCTGCAAACTTCTGTTACTTTATCTAGTGGGGGATGTTGTTTTTTTTTAATGGACTAGCTGAAAAGTGTTAACAAGCAGTCTTTGTAAATGATCTGGGAAAATGATCTGCCATTTCTAACAATAGCCATCTAGAGTTTTGTTTGGAAATGGTTAAAACAGATTCAGATAGGTGTGATTTTTTAATTTTGTTTTAACATCAGTAGCCCTTTACCTGAACTGTTCCTGCTTAGGGCTTACCAGAGGGGCAGTCAGGTACTTTTGAGGAAAGTTGTGCTCTGGGGTCAGGTGGGAATGGGGTTCCTCTTGATGAAGGGACAGGGTTCTTCCATGGCCTAGGGTTTGAAGTTTTGTTGGTTTTTTTTTTTAAATAAGGCAGGCCAGTTCCAAAATATGATGCGTCAGTGTGTTATGCTCTCTGCAGCCTGTGTTACCTACCAAATCAGTTAGTCTATGCAGGACTGTTATTTTTCATGTGGTTTTCACACTCAGACATGAGGGCTGTCTTTGTAATAGTCAAGCTGGTAGCAAAAAGGACAATTGCCCATTGTCTAAACCTTTCACTGGTGAAAGAAAATCTAAATTGCTGGAGGCTGGCAGTCAGATACATCTTTCTCTGTTTTGAGCATCCGTATGAATGAATACAGTAAGAGACTGCTTCACTTTGACAATCTGAAAAATACCAAAACTTTGTCTGTCAAGCTCCTCTTCCCTTTCCTAGAGGCAGGTGTTTTGTCTGCTTTGATGCCAAACACCTGAAACGGCTGTTTCCCACTCTGTGATGAAGAGGTGGGGCATAGCTATTGCCCAAGTTTGAGGATGGTGAACAGTGGAACTAGATATCTTCAGACTGTGTTGTGATGCTGATGTTTGATGTTTCTTGTCTCCCAGTGGCCTGCCGTGCATGCTGAGCAAGAGGACGAGCCCTTTGTCATCATTCCAGTCATTGGTGTGGACCTGGGAGGAGGAGCCATTGTTTGACCTGAGCTTCTGGGGAGGATAGATCAAAGTAGGTGTAGTGCCGTGCTGCCTCTTCTTACTTTTGTCTTCGTTATGAAGCATCCGTGAGTCAGCTCCTTGGGCGCTCTTTGACACTCGTGATCCAGCAGTCTTGTTTAGCTGCATGTTTTCAGCAATGGTCATGTACTTAACTTTGTGTAAGTTCATCCAGTGGGTGACAGAATGGGAAGGAAAGAGTGCTTGAATTAAGTTGGCTTTTCAAGTATCACTAAAATTGCAGCATGCTTTGGGGGGATTCTTTCATTTCCTATATCACTGAAGGTCTCTTTTCTCACATCCCGTAACCACAGATTAATATTGTAAATGTGCTTGACTGGAGCCAGGTCTGCTTTTATTCTCACCCTGTGGATAGGAACAGGCTAAGACCTGTTTGAAAGGGTGACCCCATGTATAGTTGAGAGAAATGTTTAAGCATAGGGGCTTCATTTGGTCTGTCAGGTCCTTTTCTGTCTTACTTCTTTACTACCTACAACCGTTCAGGTGGCCAGCGTTTTAGTTATTCCTCCTGTCTACGGCATCCAGACCTAAATACTGGTATAAAATAAGTTTATTGTCTCTATTACCACCAAGTTCTGACCTCATTCTTTGATATTTTTATTTGGCATAATAGATATTATGTTTACCTAAGAACCCACATGAGAGAGGCAGAGTCTAGCAGGTACAGATATATCCACATTATCCTCACATTATTGCTGCATACATTGTGCTGCTAAGCAGAGTTCTGTGTTGGCAGGTGTAAAAGTTTCCAGGAGCTTACAGTCGCTGTGTGGATAGGACAGCTTTTAAAACAGATTCTGTAACCTCCAGTTGTTAAATTTTAGGACTGTATTTATAGGTTAGAAACGAACTTGAGTGTATTAGGAGATAGCTGAGCATGTGCGTGGATGAGTAGAGTTCTGATGGTCTTTGGATGTGATCTCATCTGGTGACGACAAAAGCGACTTCTTCGGCTGTGCAGGTGAGATTGAATGATGTATGCTGATCTACTAGAAGACTAAACAGAAAAGAGTACAGTGTATGGATTGTCAGTAAGCATTGTATTTTCCTGCTGGTGCGCTCATGTTTTATGTGGTTTTGGTTTGTTTATTTTTGTGGGAAGAGTGTCTTCCTCTTTAGTTTGACTTTGGTATAACAGGAATACAAATGAGGTCAAATCTGTCATGATCAGGGAAGGACTCTTGCAGGGTGTACACAGAAAGCTGTCATAGTAAGAGCCTTTGGGCTCTTTAAATACCATCACCGCACAAATTACTTATGTACAAAGTTCTTGAATCTAATTTTTTGTACTTGTGTATCAGTATGTGAATTTAAACAATACCATGCAACTTCCTTCCACAACTGAAAAACTGAACTCCATCTGACAGTTCTCATGTCTAAAAAAGCTTGTTGGCTTCCCTAGGGAGTAACTGGAACACAGAAATAAAGATAGACCTTTCAGAGAAAGTATTCCCTTTCCTCTCCTCCATGCATGATAGGGTCACGTAAACAAAATAAGGTACCCTGTGAATTAGGCAAAGTAACTTTATAATGTCTCTGGATTTCCTGTCCCGCTAGGGAGTTGGTAGTGAACTCTAGTGATGCTTGCCATTGTGTTGGGATCACAAAATAGCTGAAGTTGGAAGGAATCTCTGCCAATTGTCTCGTGCAACCCCTTGACTCAAAGCAGGGTGACTTAGAGCAGTTTGCTCAAGGCCATGTCCAGCTGGGTTTTGAACATCTTCAAGGATGGAAACTCTGCAGCCTTTCTGGGCAACAGTGTAAAAAAGGGCTTTTTCTTATGTTTAAGTGGAATTTCCTGTATTTTATCTTTTGTGTCCGTTGCTCCTCATCATGTTTCTGGACACTACTTGGAAGAGCCTGGATCTGTCTTATTTACCTGCCCCTCCATCATGTATTTATGTACATTGATAAGATCCCTCTGAGCCTCCTTTTCTTGAGGATGAACAGTCCCAGCTGTCTCAGCCTGGCCTCATATGACAGATGCCCCAATCCCTTAATCATTTTAGTGGCCCTTCGCCGCACTCGCTCCAGTATGTCCATCTTATCTAGTACTGGAGAACCCAGAGCTGTACACAGCGCTCCACATGAGTGCTGACCGGAGCGGAAGGATAACTTCCCTCACCCTGCTGGCAATGTTTTTCAGGAGCCCAGGATGATTTTTGTCCCAGAATTGTATTGGCTTATGGTCAACTCGTCGCATCCCCAGATCCTTTTTTGCAAACCTGCTTTCCAGGCAGTGGGCCCCCAGCCCATCTCCTTTGCACGTGCAGGACTTGGCATTTACCTTTGTTGACCTTCATGAGGATCCTCTCTGCCCACTTCTTCAGCCCACTGAGGTACCTCCAAATGGCAGCACAACCATCTGGTGTATCAACCACTCCTCCCAATTTTGCATCATCTGCAAACTTGCTGAGGGTGCACTTTGTCCCATCAGCCAGCTTTTATAGCCTATTTGTTTAAAAAGCAGTATTGCTGAGTACATGAGAAGGGAAATTGGGGCTTTAGTCCCAGAACCACCAAAATGGCTGTTAAAGGTTGTAGGTAATTACTGCTAAACTGGTAGCAGCACAGAGATGTCATAGCTAATGTTGAGCTGGGCAGACGCTCTTTGCAGGTATGTCTTCCTCAGGTCCAAGAGCATTGTAGTTGCATTTTCATGGCATTCTAACTCAGTTCGTAAGTCCTGATGGGACAATGCGACATGCTAGTTTGTATGAAGGCTGCAGATTTGTATACTACCTTTAGTATTCTTTTTTTTTATCCTGCCTTTAGACCTGAGTGTGTGCAGAGCATGTCTGGGTGCTTCTGTATCATAGCTCTGGCGCTTCTCATCATAAGGTTAAATTCCACAGCAGGGGAGATGGAACTAAATGATCTTTAAGGTCCCTTCCAATCCAAACCATTCTGTGATTCTAATTCTGAAGTGCCAGTTCAGGTGACTCTGCAACCCAGGTGTAGATAGGCTCCAAGTAACTTCTATCAAATAGTGCTGAGTGGTCCTTCTCTGCTCTTTCAGGTACGTATGTAAGATGTTGCTTAGTAAAACAAGTTGCACAGTACCCAGAATTAATACTAGCTGGTGGAACGATCAAAACTCGGATTCAGACACTCATTTGGTTCCCGATCCATGCAGGTACCCTGGCTTTGAACCTAGGATGAGGAGGAGCTGTGGAAGCTGAGAGCATATTAAGTGCAACTTTTCAGAAGCCGAAGTAGTTGAGGTTAAAGTAGTAGTTAAGGTTAAAGCAGATGCACCCTTGAGTAGCTTTTGCTGTTACAGATTTGAGCTTTGATTGTTGTAGCTGTTAAGCCTGCTCAGTTTTATCTTCTGTACACAGAGCTCTATGACTAACCTTAGCAATTTCAGAAAGGCCAAAAGTATCATTGGAAAGATGGGTTTGGGCATACATTCATGACCATTCTGATATAACCTTTTGGTTTTTTGTAGATACAGACTCTTCACTTTCCAGAATGTTTGCTGGATATGAAGATCCTGAGGATACTGAAGTGTATGAAGATGAACTTTATCATGAGGAGTCATCCAGTGAAGAGGCTGTTGATAGTGAGGTGGAATTTCATCTCTACAGCCAGATCCACTATTCCCAAAATCTTGGAGAAATCAGCACGCTGGAAATGGATGAAGAAGCTGATGTTGCAGGAGTCACGGCTCATAGTTCAGTTCTACCTGAGAAATGGTGTGAAGACAAGAAAATCACTGGGTTCATTGATCATGGCGCTCAGCTTTCAGACGACCCTGAGATCATCGTCTTGTCTGATACACCGGATGAAGACAGCGTTTACAAAAGCAAAGCAAAGAAGTCAACGGGCTCTTTAGCTCAAGGTAAAACACGTATCCATCCAGGATCTTCCACGCCAAATGATGCTGAAGCTGCTGCACGTAATACCCTGTATCCTGTTGGATCAGGCACAGACATTTCAAAGCAAAGGAAAAGTGCTAGTGGGAAGCTTAACCCAGTTAGTTCTGCTGGAGCTCATGCCATCCAAGACGTGTTGGTAATAGATAGCTCAGAGCAGGAGAGCTTGATATCTGACAGTGATAATGTCGAGAGTTGGATGCTTTTGGGAGCTGGTGCAGATGACAGAGATGAAGATATAATGTTGAACATTGAAGGCTGTGGAAGTCCAGTCAGCGAAGGTTAGTACTGTTTTTAATCACTCGTTTATTCTTCTGTATGTGGGAGCATTTGTCTGCAAGGATGCTGATGTCAGTGTTTGAAAAAAAAGTTAAACAGAAAGCAAATTGGAGTGCATAATGATGGGTGCAAAACTATGATGAAGGAAATAGCTAGCCATTTATTTATACCATTTCAATACCGTTATTTCACTAGTGTCATATATGGAAAGACAGTATTTTTGCTGGCAGAAATTTAGAAGTAGTATCAGAGTGATTCATGTTGTGAGCTTTCCAACTTTCCTGTATATTTTGTATTTCTAAGAGCATATAAGAAGCAGGGGGGGCAGGGCAGGGGCAGGGTGAAAGGGTGGCAAAATAAAGAGGGAATACAACGGTTTCTTGTTGTAAACAAAGTAAGTAGAAAAAAAAAACCAGTTTGAGGACTAGAAACATAAAGAAAATCAGACGTAGGAACTGCATAACAGTGAAAAGTTTGCTGAAATATGCTGCAGGGTAGGAAAGTAGTGCTCAGAACCTCGGGAGCAGTGTCATTCCCCTTTTCATGTGATGAGGTTTCTGCCCCGCTGCCCCTGTCTGCCTTGCCTCATTGCCCCTCAGCAGTGCAGAGAACAGTGCTTGTTACGGCTTTGCTGTATGCTCGACCAGCGAAGTTACAACTCAGAAAAGGGATGAACTGTAACAGGAGAGGGCAAGGAAGGGAGGGGAGACCTGAGCTGGTTCCCTTTCCTGAAACAGGTTCTGTAACCACTCCTTCAGGAGTCTGGCAGTTTGGGCTGTTGATCTAAAATTTACTGTAACTTCTTGTATGGATTCTGCATTGAATAATTCAGAGAGATTCCCAACTGCCAAGACTAAAATTTAATATTTTGGTATTTTGCAAAATACTCTTCCACATTACAGTGCAGAAAGTTAGTAAATGTGATGGTTAGCGCAACAGATTTTGGATATCTGTTTGTAATAATCATGGTATGCAATGCATACTTTGCCACCAGCAACCAAAACCGTGTTGGACGATCAGCCATGCTTTTTTCTTGCCCACCGGTTTCCCGATGCAGAAAGATCATTTCCAGAAACAGCGTCCCCTGCCAGTCTGAGAAAAAACAGAACCTGAAGAAAGGCTGCTTCAGTGGCAAGGCTAGCCAGATCAGCTGCAGCACCAGGCACCTTTGCAAGATTTTTAAAATTTAAAACAAAAAAGTATACCATAATTTTACTTGGTGTACATGTAAATGAGGTGGTTTTGGGTGCAGGGAAATGAAACGTTCTGCAGCGCTGACCTGCAGGCTGACACTAGTAAAGTTTTTCCTGAGGGTGGCTGTGTAAACAGTGCTGCTGTTCACATGCTGCTCCTACGCTGTTTGAGAGGGGAAAGCTGAGAAATTGTCTTTGCCGACACCTGTTTCTTGCCCATAAATGTTGTCCATAAATGTTCAATAACTAACTTTTTGCTTAGAGTTGTTCCTGTGTATGTTTTTGCATAGCTATCCATAGTCCATTGCTAAACAGTCCATAGTGTGCACTCGATCTCAGATGGTTGATTAAAGACTCCACTGTGCTTGCCCAAGCCTCAGAGATTTAAGAAATGCTTTCCCTATTCCCAGTGCAATGCCAGAAGAGTGGCAGAGCATTCAGTTGCCATGCCAGAGCCCCACACAGCCACATTAGATTTGGAATTTATGTAATTTTTTTCTCCCTGTAAATGTTTTAAAATGCAGTTTCTAAGATTTAACTTGACATTGCTAAATTTCATTAATATCTTTCTTTTTGTATTTTCATATCCTGTCCTTTTCTTTGAAACTAGAGCTAATTGGCTTGTCTTTTTCTTAAATTACTCTTGCCTCTTGGGGACCAAATGTTTGGTGCCGTGTGGTGACTGCTGTAACAGCAATGCAGTTTGTGCACAGCACTGTTAATACATTTTCTGAGTAGTGTCTATTTTTCTCATAACTGCTGGGTAGGCAAATGACCTGGAGTTAGGTTTCTTTTGTTCCGTTTACTCTGTGTATCTCCTTGGATTTAGGTACCAAAATTGCTGATAGTAGCGCTAAAGATTACCCCAAAAAACAGAAGATAGAAAAATGTTCAAATAGTGCTTGAGACTTTAAGCCTATTTCAAAGTTACATATACACATTTTGGGAAACATTCTGTAACTAATTTATCGGAGTGATTACGCTTACCTAGGTGTAACATGAAAATGAAAATTCATTCTTTGTGCTATTATAGCGAAGGTGTGCCAGTGCTAACCAGGAGGGGCTTTTAAAATTCAATACAGGAGGTTAATATCAGGAGACAGTTTTGCTAATGTATGGTATGTTTTTGTAATGAACGTAATAATGTTTCTGATTTGTTTATATACTCATGGATGTTGACAATAAGCACGCCACATTCAAAGCAGGTAATGGGAGGAGAATTTTCCTGCGGTGTATAAACTCGTCATACTGTTCAGGACTAAAATGGTTTCATTTAATGTAGGTGATGTAAAGATTTTTTGAGATGCTCAAATGGGACCTCACAGACAGCCACACAAGAGGCTCAAAAATATAACTGTTCTTCTCCTACTCTGATGTTTATTCTCAAAGTTAGGTCAGAACCTCTTCAAAACCCCTTTTTGCAACTTGCCTCACATCAGTAGTGGTTTTGCCAACAGCAGCCTCATGCCTGGAGATGTGGGATGTATGGAACATGCATCAGACGCACACAGCTGTTTGGGAGCAGGTGCTACTTGTACACGCACATCTCTCTCTTCGTTTTAGCTGTTGCCTTTCTACATATGTATGACTTTCCAGAAAGCCTTAACCTTTGCGCATTTCTTCTGACCACGATCAAGTTAGTGATGATCCATTCGACTCTGCTGTATGCAGTGGGCAGAGCAGAGATCCATGCCTGGGTGCTGGCCCCGATGCAGGCACACACCTGAGGCGGAGAGGGTGCCGTAGGGCTGGGCTCCAGTCAAACCCCTGGTTCTCGACCACGTCCCAAATTCCAGTGAATGTTATTCAGGTAGCTCCGGCGTGCAAAAAGTTCATTGACCTGCTGTGTTTCTAATGTCTTTGGTGATGGGGATGCAAAGACACAGCCTTAAAGTAAATCGGTGCTGTATGTACGTGTGTATGTAATGAAAAGCCGAAAGAGCATCAAAATAGTTTTAGGGAACAAAAGCCATAAATCTTCGTAATGTAAAGTAACCATAATTGTTTATTGAGCTTATGCAGCATTGTATCTCCAGTTCTATAGACTATAAAGGACTCCTTTGCTGAAACATAAACATAAAAATTTTAAGTCCGAGGGAAGAAATGCATTTAAAAAGTACATGTGTTGGCAAATTACTCTCAAAGATATTCTCTGCTAATTAATTTAAATTATTTTGAGACATGCACAGTTCTGTTTTCAAGGTTTCTAAAGAACGAGATCAAGTATTTAGGTGACTGCATAGTATGTAAATTACTATTTTAGGGCTTGCAGTATCAGTAAGGCTGGATGTGGAGTGTAGTGGCTGGTGAAGCCTTGCCTTTCACATTCTCTGCCGAAACTGCCTGTGACTGCATAAATGGGATAGACCATGACAGTGTCATGGTGTGGTTAGTGTCCAGTTTGCTTCACATTAAAAGGGGAACTAAAACGTGAACAATTCTCCGGCTATGAGAGTAGCCGGTTGTGTCGGTCATTTGATGAATCTGTTTTCACGTCTGAGTCCCTGAAATAGAGATGGTGTGGTTCCACTGGAGTCAGAAGTAGCTCCTCAAGGAAAGGAATTAGGCTTATCTCCTCATGCTGTTAACTCCGCTACATCTTACCTGCCTGCCCTGCTCTTGTCTAACAACCTTATTATTTTTAATATTCTCTATAAACAAATAACACCTTCTTGATGCTTCCAACGCACAGAGTCTTCTCCCCATACAGCCTTCTAGCTTCAGTCATCACCGTCTGCTTTGACAGAAAAGAGACGTCCAGATGTCCCTTTGCCTTGGGACGTGAGCTCTGGTTCCTGATGGTAAATCAAGATTCACCTGTACCTTTCTGTCTTCAGCTGACTTCTTGAAAGTTATGGCTGGTCCACAAACACTGCTGTTCAGTACACAGTTGAAAAGTTTTCCTCCCTTTTGTGCCCTCTTTCCAAATGGCTTTAGATGCCTTTCACTTTTTATTTTTGCTTGCCTAATACCACATTTGTGCCCATATTTCTGTAAAATACAACTTTTTGTCATGTGTCTCTGGTTTCTCAGCACATACAGCTGACTGACAACCTTTAATTGATTGGGATATGAAGATGGGTGCTGGCTTTCTTGTTTCACATAGAGGGATATCATGGAAAGCACTTATTGTGTCCGTACTGACTCTGTCCTTCCTTACTCTGACTTGGTTTTGCTGTGGTGAGATTGCATATGGCTTGGAAGCAAAGCAGGCACTTGAATTACAGACGGTCAGCCAAGCTGAAAAGACAGTGGCCACATACCTGTATGTTACTTGCCCCCACCTGGTGATCTGTGGGTTTCCTTGCATGGCGTTTGGAAAAGCGTGCGCTGCTGCTGGTCGTTACTTTGCAAAAAGGGTCCTACCTGCTTCACGTGGTGTTTAAAAAATGGGTAGTTAGCAAATCTAGGTCTTTGGTATGATTTACCTGATTTTTTTAAATGTTTAGAGTCCAGAAGAAAGTGTGCAAAGAGAATCATTACAAACTACCATGTACTAAATGCAGTGAATTCATTTTTAGTGTTGGAGGGTTTCCAGGTCTTTGAAGGAGGGTTGTCCCCTCCCACCCCTTTCCTGCACTTTGCAATAAGAGTATATATGATAAGAATGTTAATCTCCTGTAGCTGGAAGTCTTTCATCCATTCCTTCATTAAAATCTTCCTTTTAACATATTTCCTCTCCCACACATAGCTGCAATCCTAATCTCTGCATTTTTCTTTTCCTCATGGCTTTTGGAAAGACAGCTTTCAAAGCTGCAGCATTGATGTCCGGCCACTAAGGGGTAGAAAAAACAATTTATCTTCTCCCT